CAAACCTCTACCAGGGGGATCCTGTAGATTGTAAATGCAAAGTGAATTGTATTTGGAGCATTTGTCAGAAAACATTCAAACATCACCACTAATCCAATAAGGAGGTGAAGTTTTAAAGTAGACCAGATAATTAGCTTTGCTTTTGCCTCCATGTTGTTTCTTGGAGAACAGCTTGGTGATGTTGGTCAAGTTTGATGTATGCATTCCCTTTGACCCAGTAGTTCCATCCCCAAGAGCATATCCCTTGGGGATAAAGAGACACATGCAAAAATGAAGATATAATTTGCACGTTCTTTCTCTAACCCAAAGCACATATCACTTCACTAAAGTCCTAAACTGCCTCCACTTTGACAAGTTCTATGGCCAGGCTCGGGCCTCATTTTAGTCTCATTGGACTGAGCTGATCTTGTCCTCCTTGAGCTATTTTATTCACAGGGCTTCCATGACAGCACTCTCTCTTGATCCGTCTATACCACTGGATTCTCTTTCTTGATCTTTGTTGGTTTCTCCTCATCTGTGTTTCCTCTTTATTCTGGAGGGTGCTAAGTTTCAGTCCTTGGACCTCTTGTCTGTCCACTCACCCTGGAAGCTGGATAAGCCTCCACAACTTTAACTGTCATCTAAATAGTACTGTCTCCTCCAGCCCAGACCTTCCCCTGGATCCAACGGTATCTCTGAAAGTACCATTTACAGAACCCTCTCAACACTGCCATATCCAGAGGGGAGCTGCTCAGTTGCTGCTTCACTGTCTTCTGAATTTCACCCCCTGTCCCTTTAGGGGCTGAGGCCCAAATTTTTTTAGTGGGTTTACTGGGATGTAACTCCATCAGAAGTTGAAAGGTATCTATATATTGCTATTGACAATAGTTACCATGTTATATAATAGATGTTGTCTTTAAATTCTTGACATGACCCCAGGTGACCTTGCCAACTCCGTAATGTGTGATTTGAAAAGATGCTCCACTCACTGGTGACATTTTCTGCCCTAAATATGAAATCAGCCATTCTCCAAGGGGCTCTGGTTCCTTTTGGGGGGAATGGTATGTAGAGGCCACACTTTGGGCACTAGGGGTGCTTATTGGCTATGGGGCTGGTCACTATTTTTAGGCTGTGAACCTAGTTAGGAAGCTGTGTGTGTTTAAGATAAACTATATCATGAGTTCAAAGTGATATCTCCATATCAAATTCAGAACTAAATGGTTTTAATTTAATCCCTTTGTTCTTATAGATCTATCTCTTTTTTTCTCCTGTCTCAAAAACTTGGTTCCCAATTTACTTTCTTCAGTAAAAAACACACAACAGTTTCAGAATAACAATGCAATTTCACAAAACAGTACAATGTTTCCTCAAACAAAATAATACTAGCAATAGTTTTAGTTTATCAATTATTTATTTATTGTCACCCCTTTTATCCTTAGAGTACATGCCACTAAGAAGTTCCTGTATTTCAAAGTTGTTTGAAATAATTCCATTCTGTATTTATGTCACCAAATTGATATATGACTAGGGGTTCATTTATTTCATTGTGCTTTCGATTTTTAGGAATCAAAAATTTTATTTATTTATTTATTTTCGCATTACAATTCTACTTTATATACAGTTCCGAAAAATCGTGCTGTGAATGGATAATTATGAATGTAATGCATTCCACTAATGTCATGTATGTAAGAAATAAATAAAAATCCATCTTAATAATTATGTAATTATTAAATTAATAATTAAGTTGTCCCATGGGTCATTGGTTCTAGGAACCCCACCCCCAAATACCAAAATCTGTGAATCCTTCAATACCTTACATAAAATGGTATAGTGTTTACACAAACACCCTATGACCAAAATACCTCACAAGAACAACTTAGAGCAGCAAAGTGTTTTTTGTTTTTTTTTTTTGGAGATGGACACAATACGTTTATTTATTTATTTTTTTATGTGGTGCCAGGGATAGAACCCAGTGCCTTACACATAATAGGCAAGTGTTCTACCACTGAGCCACAACCCTGACCCTCAAAGATTGGTTTTGGCTCACAGTTTCAGAGGTTTCAATCCATGGTTGGCTGGCTCCATTGCTTTGGGCTGTGGGGAGGCAGAACATGATGGTAATGGTCGTGGTGGAGGAAAGCTGCTCAGCTCCTGGCAGCTGGGAAGCAGAGAGTCCGCGAGTGAGCAAGGGGCCAGGGACAAGATAAACCCTTCCAGGGCACACCCCCAGTGACCCACCTCCTCTAAATAAGTCCCCTCTCCTATAGTCTCCTGTACCTCTCATTGTCTATTCAGTCAAGATTAACTAACCCTTTCACAGGGTTAGTGCCCTCATAATCCAAACATTTCCTGAAATCCCACCTCTGAACATTGCTGCTTTGGAGACCAAGCCTTCAAATGAGACTTCAGGGACATTCCATACCCAAACCATAACATTTACACCATTTTCAATCAGAAGCTGGTTGAATCTACTCGAGTAGAAATCCTGGATATGGAAGGTTGACTGTATTCACATGCTTCTAAAGCCAAATTATAAAACAAATTAAATTGGACGTTTACCTTATAACCTTGTCCCCTATATATAATTTCCCCTCTAAATTTTAATGATGATGATTTTTTTTTTTGCCTATAGTTAACCACACAGTATTGTGCACTTAAAAATTTAAGAGGGTAGAGCTCATGTTAAGCATTCCTACCCTGAAAAAAAAAAAAAAAAGGACACAAGGAAACTACTGGAGGTGATGGGTGTGTTTTATCATGTTTATTACCTTGAGCATAGGCTACCACGGGTGTGTGCTTATGTCTGAACTCATCAAATTGTATACATTAAATGGCTGTAGTTTTTAATAAGAATTATATATCAATAAAGCTGTTAGAGACTTTTTAACATTACTAGTATCACTCTATAGTAGTATAAAGAGATATTCTTAATTCTTTTTTATAGCTTATATAGTACTGCATGTGTGGTTGTACTGAAGTTTATATAAATAACCTCCTGATGGAAATCAAGTTTTTAATGGACTTTTTACACTGAAGAACTCTGTTGTAAGATTAAACAATTCTCTGATTGTTTTTTTCTATCCATAAGTTACCTTTCAATTTTTCATATCTACTCTGAGCAGATGCCTGTCATGGCAGAGACTGGCTCTATCCATGTTAATACTCTGACAAGGCACTAACTAGGGTTTGAACTCCATAGTTACCTCAAAACAGTGTTCGAAAGGGTAAATATGAAGAAAGTGTTTAATGGGGACAGAGTTTCTGTTTCTGATGACAAATTTGTGGGAATGGATGGTGGTGACGGCTGCACATAATGCACATGTAGCCAGTGACATTGAGCTGTGGGCTTACAGTGGTTCCGAAAAATTGAAAGGTAACTTATGGATGAGAAAAAAACAACCATAGGAAATTGTTTCATCATATAACAGAGTTCTTCAGTGTAGAAACTCCATTAAAAATTGATTCCATCAGGAGACCATTTATATAAACTATCATACATGGTAGAGTGCTATGTAGCTATAAAAATATTCAAGAATATAAGTCTTTATATTACTAAAGAGTGATATTCAGAATACAAATTTGGTAATATTTATAAAAATTATAAATTTCATGTACATTCTTTCAATTACAAAAATAATAGGTAGAGTATATGTGAAAAACTCCAAAATGTACTGATAGCCAGATTATTTTTTCTAAGAAACTGCCATATTAATGTGTAACTTCATGTGGAAACTAAAATTCTGTGCATGAACTGAGGTTTTTGATTGGTAAATGTGTCTCAGAGCAGGGTGACAGCGGGTGCCCCACCCCTCTGCACTCTCCTCTCTGCATGGCAGCAGCAGAGGAAGGCTGGCACTCCCCAGGCACATACACAGGCCTCACCTTCCCTTCAGCTCTGCTGGGGCTTCCATGTTCACCATTGAGATGGTCCTTTTCTCCACCTTCCAGACCTCATCTTATCTACCATGGACTCTTTCTAGACTGCCATTTAGCTTACTACAAGAAGACTTGAATTTTATGGCTCCTAAATAAGGTGTTTATGACTAGGAAATTCAGTTCAGTGACAGACTCTTAAACCCACTCCTGACAGTGTTTGAGTCAAGGTTTATCACACTGGGCTGGGATGTCAAGGACTCAGCATAAACCTACACTGAGACTTTTCTGAATGAACTAATGAATGGGCTGTGGACTCTGGTCAGGGGCCATGACCCTTTACCATCTCTTCTTCAAGACCTCTTCCCTGACCACTGATAAATGGAGACTGTTTCAGATGCCACGAGATCCTAGGTTATCAGGTGCTCAGGAGGTACACAGCACCACAGGCTATCTTTCCTCAACTGGTTATATAGAAAGAGTCTTCTTAATCCTTTGGTAGAAAAATGACCATTTCATTCCTTGTGGAAAGTTTCCTTTCCATCACTGGAACTATAGGAGACTAAATAATAATGAATGGATTTGTCTACTGGGGCCACTGGGCACTCCAGAGGCAGGAGCAGCACCTGCAATCTGAGCCAGTGATGACCCGGTGCAGTGGGATGATGGGGGGCCTAGTGTGCAGTATGTACATGTAGTTGCTATGAATCATTGGGATAAACAACCACCTCATTCCAGAGCATTTGCCTCAAAAGCAAGTAAGGGAGAGGGTAAGATGGAAGCCTTGCTACAGGTGAAGAGGCAAGGCCACAGTAAAAGGTGTCCATGGGTACTTGAGAGTAACTGGTCCAATTTGGAGCCAGATGATGGGTCAACAAAGCATTCACCCAAGTCCTCTGAACCTGCTTCTTGGAATCTGAATCATGGAAACCTCCACAAAAGCAGAGAAAGTGGTGTTCTGATTTTCCATTCACCCAGATTCAGCACCAACAATTACCATCATTTTGTCAATCTTGTTTTATCTACCCATCCTCTAGTAATTTTCCTTAAAAATATTAAAGAAAATTTCAGATACCACGTTATTTCACACCCTGAAATATTTCAATATCCTGCTCCCCTTAGGACTGTCAAACAATAAATACCCAGTGTTCATTATTGGAAAATCAGCAATGTTATTTTTAATACAGATGTGGTACAGAATGTGTAATTACAGCAGGGCAGTGATCCAGTTAAATAAAACTAAAAACCTTTATTTTACCAAATATAAAATTACTAAATTAATGTCTTAAAAGAAAATATAACATGGTGAAAACTTTAAATTATACCCCCATTCACCACAGAATTTATGATTTACCAATCACATATTCCACCATTTTGGCAAAAGGATGACATTTTTAATAGTTTATAAACCTAATATAGCAAAGACTGTGTACATCTCCATATTGCACTTTTTTATATACAATAATAAAACAGTAAAGTCAAATGTATTGCATATACTAAGAACAGCACAACTTTGTCACAATTAAACTTAATGCAGAAGCAGATGTATTAAAAATGTAGAAATGTAACACATATATGTACAGAATGCCGAGGCTGTATTAACAAACTGTATGTACATAGTGGTATGCTGTACTAGTTTTACTTTTTAGCATAGTTATGTTTGTTAGTACAGGCCTTTGGTTCTAAACTGTTTGACTAACTTTAAGCTCACATAGTTTCTTAAGCATTCACATGTTTTAAATGCAAGGAATAGTATAAAAGCACTAAATCTCCTTGTTCACTGGTACAAAAATGACAATGGTCAGTTTCCTTAGGTCATCAAAACTAGTCACAAAAATAGTTCTTGTATTCAACCTGAATGTGCCACAGGAAAAAATAGTATCTTCAAGATTTTCCAGCTCAGCCTAGAGACGTAAGGCCCCTGCCTCAGTTTCAGTGCTGCTGCCCCTGCCATCCACATTTCAGAACACTGTTTTTCTTTAGGACATTTATTTTAATACTACTCTGTACGGAAGAATAAAATCCAACTCCAGCTTAAGAGTGTCCACCACACATCTCTGTTAAGACAAAAGGAAAATTCTAAATATTGCCAGTGAAATTTAAAAAAATATGTGCACCCTTTTCCCACTCTTTAGAAAATCTGCTATGAAATACCATTCCCTTTCTCTACTGTTCCCCATGGCTTCTCCCTGTGCTCGGTCTTCCCAGTGATTAGCTTTGGAAATCATCCTGAGTTTGCAAATGACAAAGCAAGTCCCCATATGTGGTCCATGAGCCGAAGTCACACAACTGAGGACGAGCTGGTCAACCCGTGAACCATTGTGCTTGTTGGAGTTCCGCTGATGGCGTTGAAGATGTGAAGGGAATTCGGCAAAACGCTTGTCTTCTCCTCCAGGGGGCAAATCTCAAGGCACAGAAACGACACAATCAAAAGTTGATCCCCGAACATTTCTCAAAACTGCATTTCAGACCAACATGCAGAACTTGCCACCCTACAGTCACTCCACTACTGTTAGTGGCTTTGGCAGTTTGCAGAGAGACTGACTGATCATATCTAGTAAGTGGTCATTTTCAGATCAAGATTTTAAAGAGAAAGACAAGAGCAACATGTTTTATTGTTTTTACCAGTGAGTAAATGAAGAGCACTCTAGACTCATCATATCTTAAGATGACTTGAGGTCTAGCTTACAACTTGATTGGGACATGACCTAACCTTGTTCCTTGACAGAGCCTTTTGAAATGAATTTCGAACCATTTATGCTTCTCTCCTATCTCCTTAAGGTCTTACGGATTTCCCTCTTGGGTAAGAGATTGGCTGCTCTCTGACCTGAACATGCATCTTTTCACAGCCTTTGTCTCCAGGAAGGAAGCTGGGTGTAGGCCTCTAGCCAGGCGGGGACTCAATAACAGGCCCTCAGAGAGGCTCCTCTTGAGGCAACTGAAGCGACTGCTCCAGTCCACAACCCATTTGCTTAAGTGTTCCAAGGGTTTAATCTTCACAGTTGTTGACACAACGGGAAGTTCAAGGTACAGTGGAGAGCAATATCACTGCAACTAACGTCCATATGATCTTGGAGTTTAACAGTCTCAGCCTATAATTTCTTCCTATTTCCATCTTTTCTAGTGCTGAACGCTGGCACCCACTGATTGAGCTCTGCATTTTGTGGGAATCTAGAGGTTCCATGAAAAGTTTTCTCCATAAACAGGTTCCCATTAGACCTTCTCCTTCTATTTAATTATTTACACATCATTTACTTATTTCATTTTTTTTTCTTTTTTTGGTGCTGGGGATCTAACCCACAGCCTTGAGCATGCTGGATAAGACTTCTACCACTGAGCTCCATCCCCTTGCATTTTTTCCACTTTTTAAGTGCCCAGATGAGGGCGGCTTTCCTTTGCACATGCACTCTACAATGTCTGCAGCTGCTCAAACTCAGCAATAATCTTATGTGAGTCAGGTTAAGTGAGTTAGTTTATCAAAAAAAAAAATTTAAAAGTGACATTACCATCCCATCTGAGGTGTTAGCATGGAGGAGAAAAAAAGCAAGTGAGTTAAAGTTCAAATACTGAAATTAGTTTTCTACTAATTGCAGAAAGAGACACTGTTTGAGCATATCTAGTAAGTGGGAAACCATCATGTAATAGGATAACTGACTCAAAGGGCCCTGGCTTCTATTCTGCAAGACCCACAGACAATAAAGTAGGGAACAGACAAAACCACCTATGGGGCTCAAGAAGCTAACACTAAGTATAAAGACTAGGACAGTGGCACGTATGAATGTGGATGCTGCTCTCTGATGTTTGCTTAGTACTTGGATCAGATGTCTCCTCTGATGACCACTGGGACCACAAAAATAATTCATATAGGAAGGAGACAGAGGAATACAATCAGGAACAAGGCCCATGATGATAAGGAACATACGGGAAGTACCTATGAAGAACCCTCTGGGACACCAGGTCAGTGGTCAATGGACAAAAAATGGAATCACTATGTATTTTTAAGCGATGTAAGTAATTTAGTGCAATAGATAATTCCTTAAACCAGGCTGGTAAGTCCTGTTCTTTCAAAAGATTGAGTGTGTAAAGATAGTTGTAAGGACAGCATGGATGTGAGTTCTCAAGGCTAGATTACTGTGGGGAGAGGCAAACTTCATGAAATGTGGCATCTCTAAAAACAAGAAGGAGGTAGGTGCTGCTCTCCCTGGTGGTTAGGTAGTAACAGATGGGCAATCTGTTAGCTGTTTCCTAAGTAACCTAGGACCACAGGAGCAGGAGTGTGGTAGGTTACATTTTTCTTCAGATACTAAAACTCTGGGAAGATACTGGAAGGCTTAGCTCTTCACAGGACGCATCTGAGATCTCGTGAATACACATTCCCTCAATGAGAGCTCTGAGCCACTTACCTGCTCATGCATGATTTCAGAAAGCTCCTTTGCCATTTCCCTGTAGTTGGCCTTCATTTCTTCCTGATACTCTAACTGGTCTTCTTTAATCAGACGTTCATTTACTGCTAAGGCTTGGCCGCAAGCTTCCACAAATTGCCTGAAACGGGCAGAGAGGGAGGCAAAGCCATGTAGGGGACATAGGGTGGCAACTCTTTCTTCAGTGAGCACAGAAATGATCAATCCTCGAGAAGAAAAAGACATTTTTAGTATGCTTACCTGAAAACTTCCTTCAGCAACTTCACTTTATTGTCAGGGTATCGTTTTGTGTTTGTGTCATCTAAGAAGGCTCGTGCATATGCTAGTGGACCAGCATTGACCTAGAAAATAAGCAGAGAATTTAACTTATGTTAGGGGAAAAAAACTTACTATAACCACCTATTTAGCTTCAGGGGGCATGTGATAAAAAATAAGAGAGTTTGAGTGAGTTAATCATGATCCCTGCCTTTTAGGAAGTTATAACCCAAAAGGAAACCAAGAATAAAGTATACTTTCACATGTCACTTGCTTCATTACCTGGGCCATCCCTGGGCACTTGTGATGAAGATTCTTTATGTAAGAAGGAACCAATGCTTGAAATTTAAGGACTTGGTCAAGTCTGAACATCCAACTAGCAAAACACCAGTGCCAAGGCTTCCAATGCAGGCCAGGGATTTTTAAAAATATTTTTAGTTGTAGATGGACAAAATACTTAATTTTATTCATTTATTTTTATGTGGTGATGAGAATTAATTACAGTGCCTCACACATGCTAGGCAAGTGTTCTACCACTGAGCCATAGCCCCAGCCCCAGGCTAAGGATTTTTACCACCAAGGCTTGAGCCCTCAGAACTACCTACATTATACTAAAGGCAATTGGGCGAATTCAGGTAAAAATGAAAAAAAAAAAACATACTTTAGTTATAAGCTAGTTTTTAAAAATCACCTATTCACTTTGCTGAACTGTATAGGCAGCCATTGGCAAAAGATTTGCTGTTCTCAGATGCAGTAACCACTTGAGGTGTGCTGCAAAGGCCACAAGAGTGTCCAGCAACATGGCAAGTGAGTCAGAACTCTGCATCTCTCTTCCAATTAGCTAAGAAGAGCTCTCTGAAGTTGGTAAGTCAGGAAATACAGAAATAAGGAGAAAAAGAAGGCTGGGCAACCTGGGATGGGAAGAATGTTCTAGTACCTCAGAGCTTGGGAAGGAACTGGGCCACATGATCAATGCATAATTTTTCCAGGAAGGTTTGACGATTGGAAAAGTGGGAGGTAGGGAGAGCTGTCTGTCTGAGGTTCTGATCCAGGCTATGCAGAACTTGTGTTGTAGTGGCAGGAAAACCGAGCCATGGGAATTCAAACCAGAGGTGGGGAGATAGGAGGAATGAGCCACAGTATCAGGGGTGGGGCCTGAGATGGGACAGCTAGCTCACCTCCTGTGATGACTAAATGTGTAGGATAAGACTTGGCATTAGGCTTGCTGGGTGTGTGGGATCATGCTAATGGAGACCACCCTAATTACCAACTATCTATAAGACAGTCAATTTCACAAATACAAAGAGTAAAGCTGATAAGACTTCACAAAACCTAATATAATTAGATCTTGGAGTGCAGGGTTAAGAAGCTGTCCTGTAAAGCAGCAGTCTTGTGAGCCCCATAATGAATCACAGAAATACACAAATAAAATGTCAGAATTAATATTCTCTGGCCACAATGTTTTTGCTACCTGGGTGGGCACAAGTATAAGCTTAATCTCCTCATTTCAACATGGATTTATTTGCTTTATACAACACAGTTAGGTATTATATTATAAAACTTGAAGGTCACTGTCAAATGACAGGGCATATTTTGCCCTGTAGGCAGCTCAACCTGTACAGGCCCACGCAGTACTGATGCCCACACCCCTTCACAGCCTTTTGATACAGGCTGGATGTTCTCAGGTTAGATTATTGAGTGATTTTGTTTCCAACTACAGAAAATCATGGTTTCTGGCCCTGCTTTGTAATCACATTGTTGGAATATTTATATTCACTTGCTAACTGATTTTGGAACATTTCCTTTCAGGACATAAGAGAGAAGGCTGGAAACATGAATAGTTCTGTGGTCAATGACATTTAGAAAAATTTTAGGCAAAAACTCATGTTTCTTTAGTATGGATTAGATGATCACAGGCAAAAACTGATTTCAGAAAATAGAGCAAAAAACTTTCTTTGTAGAACAATCTACATGTAACTTTCAAAAACACATCTACTTGAAAGAGAAAACAATGAGATATATGAATCTGTATAGAAATAAACATGTGGGAATTACTTATACACACTTTAGCCTACCCAAAAAGCAAGATGCACAATAGTCACTGGACGGACTATTCACTGATTGAATTTTCACAAATTGAACATATCTTTTAATCAGTTCCTAGATCAAAGATGATCTTTTCAATAAATGGTGCACATCACTTGGATGATCATATGGAAAAAAAAATGTACCTGGATCCTTGCCTTACATATACAAAAATCAATTCCAGATACATTGCAAATCTGAACGTACGTGCTGAACAAAAGAGGAAAACACAAGAGAACTTCTTTGAAGTCTTGGAAAGGGCATGAGTTTCTGTAAAAGGACACACACACACAAAAAATGCTACCAGTAAAGGAGAATTTGACTGATTGGACTATATTAAAAAAAGAATTTCTGTTAATCACAATATTATTGAGAAAGTGAAACTTCAGGTAGTTTTTCAGACACAATTTTCATAGAAACCAAAAACCAACAGCTTTACAAGAAAACCTACTATTATCTGCCCTTCTTATATATAGAAGAGTCTTGGTGCTTCTAATAAGCAACCAAAACCCCACAAATTACTGGAAAATCAGGTGCTATAGAGTGATCTCTTGTCCTAGTAGACAGTGGAGTAAGGATGACATGTTGTAGGTGGGGTTGGGAGGGGCCACTACCTTTCCCTTTGATATTAGGAGAAGCTACATGGACACTGGGCAAGGGACTAAGCCAGACCCTTCTGGTATGAAGGACTTGACATTCACAAGGTGCAAGGGCTTTTGCCTCTCTGCCCTCAACTGGCTCTGCCTGGCTCACCTGGACGCTTACGCTGCCCTGGAGTTTGAGCTGCAGTTTGATCATGTCCACTTCAGCTGAGGAGCACAGCTGCCGGAGCTCAGCCACCTTCTTACTCATCTCATCAATGGCCACTTCAATGGGATTTAGGTCAGTGTGATGTTGGTACATGACAGGGATCCGCTTCTTTACGTAAGGGAAGCAGTGTATTGCTGCAGAGGAATGAGGCCCAGGATTATTTCACAGTTGGCACCACCTTTACTGTTGTTGAGGTAGAAGTAATTATTATTCCTATTTTATAGACAAGGAATCCAAAGCTTGCCAAAGCTACATGCTAATACTTTAGCATGGAACCAGAATTTTTTTTTTCTTTATAATCTTGTTGGTTAATGGGTCGTATCACATGGAACCAAGAGAGCTGAATCCTTGTTATCCCTTTATGTGAGAAGCACATCTCTGAAAAAAATCATCTTATCATTCCCTGTTCAATTTTCTTATCCATACCTGTCTTACCTTCCTTGGAGGTGGTGAGATTTGTTATTTATTTATTTTGCTGGGGATCAAACACTTACATAATATGTGAGTGTTCTACCACTGAGCTACATTCTCAGCCAAGTGGTAAGACCTGAATGAGTTGGTAGGTATAGATGGCTTTGAAAACATAAAAAAGACCAAATGGTTTTGAGATGTTATGTAAAAGATTAAGTCTGAAATAGTTCCATAAGATACCCCTGAGAAAGTTCCTTTTTCTCCAAACAACAACTTTGAATCACATACTAAATTTGCACAAATCTGAGAAATCAATAAAAACTAATAAATAAGAATATATTTCCAAGCAAAGCAATCATGAACCAGAAATTTGAAAACTGTTGTGAAACATACAGCAGCAAAAATATAAATATTTACTGTTTCTTATACTTTTTAGAAATAAAAACATCTGATTAATATTATTTTCACTTGTCATAAGATATCTGAACATATTAACATCAAAGAGATAACCTAAAAATGAAAAGAGAAACGGCAGATTCTGATTTGGTCTGTTGCTTTCTATAATAATTGTATGAATAATTAATATTCTCATTTTTTAATATATATTTACTAACAGACATGATATGCACTTAAAAGCTTATTTTATTTTTTAATAAGCAAAAGCTGAGAGTGGTTGTTTTGATTTCTTTACTGTTTAGTAAAGGGCTGAGGAGAGTTTATTCAGGAAGGACATACCACAAAATGTGTTTCCATTTTGGGAGAATCAGCTCCTATAAGTCAGAGGTTGTTCCAAGGGGCCCACCAATGTCTGAACAAAGCTAGCAAAAACGTGCAGCCCAAGACAACCTCACTGATCACATTTATATGCCTGTTCTATTCTCAAAATGTCTTACCACTTGAAAGCCAAGGGTTCCTGTCTTGGGTTTGTATCCTTGCAGATATACAGTTTTTAGATTGCAGTACTGTGATTGATAAATTTTCTTTGAATGAAGTTCCCTTTACAGTGTAAAAAGAACTGGGCATTGCTGTTTACCAGCTGGGGAAGTGGTGGTCTGACCAGAGGTATATTTGTATTTGGAAAGACTGATGTGCTAGATAGAGGAAAGCTAATATGTTCTCATTTTTACAGAAAAAGCACCTATGACATGTTTCACAAGGCCAATAGTCATGTCACAACAAATATAATCAGTGAGAGCCATGGTGTGGTAGCACCACTATTTCAGAGAAAAACAAAACAAAACAAAACAAAACAAGAGATGTGCATGGATCACACTGATTTTGCTTAGTGAATATCCTGAGCCACTGCTGCTTAGGTTTGGAACTAGAGACTTGAAGAGAAGGAGAGGTACTGCAACACTACTCAGAGAAAACTTGAGGTCTATGCCCCAGCTATTGGGTCCATGTGATCCAGGATAGCCTGCCTTGCTGGCTCACGCCCACTCCTCTCCCTCTGGCTCCATGGACTCCAGTTACACCAGTCCCTCTGTTCCCTGAAAACCCTGGGCACAGGCACCCCAGGTGGTGACCTCTGTCCGAATGGCTTCTTCTCTCTCCATATGTTTGCATGGCCCACTTCTCACCTATCACTTTTTCAATGAGGCCTACCCTGGCCCCTCCATTTAACTGCAATCCTCCCCCTCAATCTCACATTCCCAGTCTCCTTTGCTTTTCTCCAGAACATGTGTTATGTTACAACACTGATACATCTGCTCATCTTGTTGACTCTCTACTGCCTGTCTCTTCTTGCTGGGATGGAAGCTGCACAAGGCCACAGAAATTTGTTTTATGAGTTCGAGATGCAACAATGCCAGGGCCAAAGGTACCTTGTTAAATGAATGAAAGCATTACTGCCCTAAAGACTATATGGGAGGGAACACTGGCCCTAGAAGGTGGACAGTCAGGTGACCAACTGAGCCAACCACTACATTACTGATAAACAATCACTATAGTGATCTGCAGCCCTGCAGGAAGAGGAGGAAGACACAGGGATATGTGTGGTGACTGTATGGATGGCTCACAGTGAACAGAAGTTGGAAGGTGAGTGGATATTTCTGACATGAGTGCAGTATGGGCATGGTGTAGAAGACTTTGGAAAGTGACTGGGCAGAAACCCCTTGGCATAAGACCCAGGAAAGAAGAAAGGCAGGATAATGCTTTGAGGCAGACTCAGATACTTTTGTTGGGGAGCGGTGGAATGCAAACCAATAACAGCAAGGTAACAGGTTTTCTTTAAATTACTTTTAAGGTTTTCTTTAAACTGCTTTTAAGGCAAAAGAATAATTGAATAACTAATAGAAAAATAACTAGTATATAAACCTTGAGAATAAATAGGTGGAAAAGGGAGCCAATTAAGAAATATATCAAAAAAGAATGATTAATGGGACTAACTCCTGACAGGGTTGACTGGGTCACTGTAAAGTTAGAATTTATGGTCATAGGTTTCTCAGTATATTTCAGAAGAGAAATTTCTTTAGTAGAGCAGGTGCATCAGGGTAAATTCTGTCCAGCTATTGACTCCAATATCCACATCAACATAGGATTAGATGTAGATGAAGCCCCCTAAATAGGATGGCCACGACAGTTCAAGAGAGGACCAACCAAGGTCAGAAACTTCAACGCTGATGTGAGGGAGCAGTTGAATAACTGATCGGCAACTAGGAAAGATCAATACATTGGAAAAAAACAATATTTCCTTTGTTGTTCTCTACTCAGAAATGATCCACACTCTCTTGAGAGTGCTTTCGGCTTGAGCCTTACTTTACTTTCACTTATAACAAAGTTCTCTTGCTTTGTTTTTCATGTCTCACTTTAAACTTTCTTTTGTTGGAACACAGAACCCAGGTTTGGAGCTGCAGCTCCCCACTCTCCTGTGAGACTTCCAACTAGGAAGGCTGGGAGTGACCATGAGGCTTTTCCATGATGACAATCGGGTGCTATCCAGGAGGATGAGCCTTGGCTGGTATGGAGGGCAGGGGAGGCCAGGGCTCCTCTACAACTGTCAAGGTCAAATGTCAGGTTTGAAGCAAAACAATGGAAGAGAAATTTAGGGGATCTGGGAGCTGAAGGGGAAACTCTCAAGCTAAAGTCTTCAGAAGGCCCACTGTCCACATCCTTGACTAAGGCCAGCACAGAGCACATGTGCTTTCTGTTGCATTTGTATGTCCCTTTCTCTACATCTACACTACACCTCAGAACCACCCTTTCCACATTTTGAAATATTTCAGGGCAAAAACCGATTTGTGTGTGTATATATGTGAGCGCGCATGTGCCTTTTATTATACTATAATCTCCTCTGTTCATTATCAGCCCCAAAAGAGCAAGAAACTCAGTGGTGGATGAAATTTAGCAAAACAAAGTAAGTTTTTCCCCATCCTGGTTACAATTATATATTTATTTAATGTGAGAAAAATGTTAGAACTCTTCGGGCTGGGGTTGTGGCTCAGTGGTAGAGCACTTGCCTAGCACGTATGAGGCACTGGGTTTGATCCTCAGCACCACATAAAATAAATAAGTAAAACAAAGGTATTATGTAACCAACTACAACTGAAAAAAAAAAAGTTAGGACTCTCACTTTACAGATGAGGAAACTAAGTACAGAGAGGTCTGACTACCTGCTCAAGTTCACACAGGGAGGCTGTGACCAGGGTCTGCAGGAGTCCCAGGTCAGGCTTCCTGCTGCCCTGTCTTCTCAGTCCCACAGGTGTGGGAAGTGGTTAAGCCCCGACCAACCAGCTTGTGTCTATTCTGCCCATCTGGGCAGTGCAGTTACTCTTTGTCCCCTCTGTTCTGGCACATACAGAGCTTTGCTTGCATCTTTTATCTAATCTAAAATAGTTCTGTAACAAATTTAAACTGTAACCCTTAGGGCATTTGCTCCGGGAAAACACCCTATCTTATGAATCAGTATGCTATGTCAATAATAATCATGATAAAAAAAAAAAAAAAAAAAAAAAAAAAAAACAACCCTGACTTGGACTCAGCAGTGAACTAGGTTTTCTGTAAAGAAGCAATTCTCAACTTGAAGATGACTCAGAATACCCTGGAGGGCTTGGATATAAACAGCTGGGCCCTGCCCCTAGAGTTTTTTGATTCAGCAAGTTTGAGGTCTGGACATTTGTATTTCTACCAAGTTCCCAGAGGTTGCTGGTTCTGGAATAACCTTTGATAACCTGATTTAAGGAACCAAAGTGACATCATCGTCACTGTATAGATAAACACTGTATGTGTTGCTAGTTCTCATAAATATTCCATCTAGATATAAAGTTATTTAATTAGAATTTGCCAGGAACATGTACATTAGGAAATTAATGCATTTACATATGGGAGGGACTAACATCTGGGATGGTTTCCAAACATCTGGGATGGTTTTCCTTTCTAGCAATTCTTTCCCCCTCCATTATCTCCAATCCCCTTGGGCCATGGAGACACCCTGGTGAGCCACCAGCTAAGGTTCTTACCAGCCCCTTTGGAATGAACAGCCAAGGACCTGTGTAGCATGGAAGGATGGGTTCTGGGGATGATTGGCATCCCCACCCCCTCTATTGTCTCCTACCACCCCCCTCCCTGATACCTCCACCTCGTACATACCCCACTCCATCCTTCCACTATTATCCTGACAGTCTGTAAATGGCCCTTCCTTTCTCCACATCCACTATTTTCTTATGAGTTCCTCAGGAGTGCAGGAGGATCTATAGATTGCTATTAGTATCCATGTGGGCAGCTTGGTGTATATTATCTTCTATTATTTGAATGAAGCCAACCGTTAAACAATCACAGAGGACTGGGGAAAGGGAAGTGTGTGGATTCTCTTCCTGTAATACAGTGTCTTGAGTTTTTGATGATGACCCTTATTCTTATTTTGGTAACATCTCAACTAAGATATAATTCACAATGTAAAGCAAGAGCTGAGAACTACTTGAAATGAGGCATCTTTATAGTGCTCCGTTCTTTTATAACAATGTATAATTGTAAATTCCATTATTCTCCAGATGGAATGTCCACCAACATCAACCTTGAGGGAGACAGTGGGTCTTCCTAGTTCTACTTAACTAAGGCAGCTCATTGGAAATTGTGCACAAATGGTGGCTATGGAGACACCTGGCTTTCTAAATTGGCTCCTTACTGATTTTTTTTCTGTCAAGAAAAACATTTGGTTTTTGGTTACCCTAATTATATCACTGATTCTAACCTAAGAATAAGTGGGTCAAGTGTCCCCTAAATCACCCAAAGAATGTAAAAATCACCCTGAGGGTGACTCTATACTTGTTAGGAACTGAGAAATGATACAAACCATATTTGCAAGAATGGGCTATCAATGGCTGAACAGTGCCAAAGAGTCATGTAAAACTCTCTGAGCTGAAGAGGTGGCTTCTGAAATCAGCAGGCTTCATGGGACTGGGGACTTTAAACTGAAGTTCAGCAGCCACTGTCGGCAGGGGTAGGAGAAACCCAGCATCACCCACCATTTATTCTGTCAGCCTAAAATTAATGAGCAGGTCCATGCAGCAGAGGTTGGTGATGTGGACAAGGTCTCAATGTGGTTTCTTGACCAGGTGGCCATGGCCAGGAGGACTCCAGATGGGCTTCGGGGGGCATTCCTGTATCACTTGAAATTGTGTGTGAAAGCCTCTGGGAAGAAACAGGACCACTGTTTTCCTCAGATGCTAAAAAGGGTAAGTGATCTTACATGGATATGAACTTCTGGTTGACGGAAGAAGAAATAGAAACAGACAAATGGAAAAATATGAGTGTTCAATGTTGAGCTGAAATGGGCATGGAGGACACTACTAAGGTGACTAAGGATGCGTCCAATTCTCAAGGCCTCTGCATCCTTAATAGAGAGTGCTGCACTTTGACAACATGCAAAACCATACCTGTTAAGATGGTGCGCCGTTTGCACTGCTCTTCGACACCACCCTGCCTTTTCCCAGCCTGGGTAAAGGGCATCTCAAACATGAAGCGACGAATGTTGTGCGATCTTTCAAACTCTGTTTTCCTTTCTTGCAATTCTTTCTCATCAAAGAACGGGATCACATGAGTCACCTGGATATAGGCGTACTTGGAATCCAGGTCCTTAGGGTTGACCTATGAATGAGCAACATTGAAGACTGGTGCAATCTGGAGGAAGCTCTCAAGCTTTGCCTGAGCTGCATTTTCCAACTTTTTATTAGTAAATATTTTGAATAAAAATTCAGAAAAGTTGGAAAATATAGTGCAAGGAACATCCACATACCCACTACTTAGATCAATTGCTAACATTTTGCTTTACTGTTTCAAACACACACACACACACACACACACACATGCAGACTCCTTTCATCGGAATCATCTTAAAGTAAGCAATAACACATTTCAGCCAGTTTTTCCTCAAAAATGACATTCTCCGCCATAACTATTATATATTATCATACCTAACAACATTAATAATAATTCCCTAATATCCAAATACTCAGTCCATATTAAAATTTCCTTAAAGTGCCTAGACATCATTTATACCAATGATCACACTTTACATTCAGTTGTCTCTATTTTTTTTGCAGCAGTGGGGACTGAGCCGGGGCACTGTGCAAGGTAGGCAAGTGCTCTATCACTGAGCTACAGCCCCAGCCCTCTTTGTTCTTGATTTATCTAGAATTCCCGACTATTTCTTTTTCATGACATTGAAGTTTTGGGAAGAAACCCTGATAATTTTCTTGTTCAAACTCAGTATAGGTTTCTCTGATTGTTTCCTAAGATGCTTTTTCATATAGTTGGCTTAAAGAGATAAATGTTTATTTAAGGAACAACAACAAAAAGCCCCTGACATTATCATTAATCTGTAGACAGATCAGATGAGATACAAACAGCTGCAGACTATTAAATTTAATATAGTCACAGATTAAGAATAATTTAATGGCGAGTTAGTTTCTGCTTAACTCAGCACAGTATGAGAAGTGGAGTGTTCTCAAACACAGGCATCTTTCATCCAGAAAGAAAAGTTAATTCACTAGGGGGAAAAAACCATTTTTCACATTTCAGTTGTATCCAACCTTCTAGAACAATAAAAATGGAGAGGAAGAAATTACTATGAAGAGTGTTGAGAAGATGACATTGGTTTAAGGACAGGCAAATGAGTGGGAACGAGAGGTTTCACTGTCTCCTAACAGATGTTTGTAAAGAAAATACAAAACATATGTCAAAGTGCCCCAACCTTAGAAGGTGAGAGAATGTGTGAAACTGTCTGTATTTTAGAAAAGCCATCTGACCAGTCATTATCATCGTATTTGAACCTATTAAATTTGACTTTCTTTAGCAGAAACAATTTAAGGGTGGGGGGATGGAGCTCTGATGTCTGGTTTTGGGTGGTATTTCCCTATTCTTCCTGTTCCAAGGTACTTGTAGTAAGAATGGAGGATTGGTGCCTAGTGGAGGAGGGGACCCTGTAACTCAGCTGCTGCATCAAGGGCCAAACATTAAATGGGGCAAAAGAAAAACTGAGAACCAGGAGAAAAGGTTGTGTTGTTAATGTCACCACTTGACCCAGGCAAAAGTTTTAATATTAAGAGAAAAAGGCAAACTGGACCTGGATCATTTGGTCTTTGGAGTGAGTTTTAGTAAGGTTATATTGAGGTTTCCAGTTATAACATTTGTTGTTTCTTTTTCCTTTGTGCAACTTTGTTAATGACATCAAGAATTAACCCACAAGGAGCCAGGAAAGAGAACAGAAGATAGTAGTGGATACTTTAATGAATTTTGGGAAGACAGGTATATGGAGGTGTGCCACCTGACTCAACAAAGTGCGGAGTGCTAATCTGTGGGCTAATGTGCATTGCTTAGAACCCATGGAGGACCAGCCACTAGGATTAGGGTGCCCACATAAGGTGTGAGGAAGAAAACAGGACAAGTGGCCACAAGTCTGCATCCGGGTTTGGGAATTCTGAGTTTCCTTCCCTAGTCCCCTACCCCAGAGACTGTAGAGGTCATTCTCTAAAGAAATTGGTCTAGAAATACTTGAAGTAGAGCTACTAATCTCAGCAGAAAGCAGGGATAGGTACAGTGTGGAACAAGGGTGAGTAAACGAGAGGCTACTGGACAAACATGGGGCCTTCCCTCTTTCTCCTCTGCTGCATCCAGAATCTAGCAGTCAGACGTTCACCCCCTGCCTTCTTTGTTCCCTGCTAGTTCCCTAGTCACACAGGTAGGAGACTGGAAGACTCTTCTTTGAAGAAAATGAAGGACCCCCAATACAGATTCCAGACTATAGGCACTCCAAAGGAGGGCTCAGGAAAGAAAGGGGATTACAGACCACTCCAAAATGGTGTCCGTAACAATAAAAAAAAAAAAAAAAAAAAAAAAAGAGATAATAGAAAAAGAATATAAGTGCACACACATATTTACCTATAAAATATAGGTATATGTGTGTATAGATATATATGTATACATAAATGCACAGATCCCCACGTATATTTATGTGTGCCTACTTTGTAACTATTATGCATAACCAAGCAGGTTGTGTGTCACTGATGTGTATCTAAGACCATCAACCTGTTGTAATTCCAGTTTTCTATTGATAATCTGAAATGATATTTAATGTTGGAGAATTCATTTTTAAATAAAATTAATTCTACAGAAAAAAAAAAAGAAAGAAAATTAGCTCGAATGCAGACAGATATAAAAAAAAAAACAAAAAACAAAATGGTGTCCGCAGGAAGAAACAGGGCTTATCGCTGATGGAGAGCTAATGAATGGAGCATTTTTAATGCAAAGAACAGGAAGGAGTGCTATCTCTGCTTGAGGTTCAGGAAGCAGAGGGACACCCAATGTCCTGGAGCAGTTCTGAACAGGGTAGGACATATAACTGCACAGGACAAATATGTAGGTTCAAGAAGAGTCATTGTGAAAGTGGAACACTAGAGAGCACCTACACTAAACAGAAAGATTTAATTAACTCAGCCATGGTAGCTGGAGAGTTCATTCTATGACTTGTCCATCTGTTCACCCATTTGTCTGTCCATCCATCTATACATCCAAGCATCAGTGGCAATGAAGTCACATGCACTGTGCCAAGTGCAGCAGAAAAGGGCAGTGAGGAACAGAGCCTTGGCCCTACACTTTTGGAATTCCAGAATACTGAAGTAAAAATAGCATGTTCCTTCACATGTTCATTATTTTGTAAAAGAAGCTTATAATGGAAAGCGCAAAAAGGTAATTAGAAAAAAAAATATTCCTGCACTCAAGGCAAAGTGTCCTTAATTTTCCCAAGTGTTCTTTTCTGTACACATTTATGAATATATAATACATAACCAAATACATGTAATCAATCAAAACAATACCACATTGTTATGAAACTTATCCAAGCATAGTCATACCTTGCCAGAGTCCTGTATCATTTTGACATTTTCAGAACCAAATTTATCTGAGTAAAGTTTTAGGAGTCTCTGAGAAATTTCTGACAGAGGCGTGAGTTTGGGTTCTTTGTAAATATACTCCTTTCCATCTTCATCTTCAAAGAATCCCTGTGACAGGAAGCATAATTAGTGTTGTCCCAAATATAAGCCCAAGGTTTACTGCCAAGGAAGGGTTCTTTTGTTACAAGGGATGAGAGGATGATTCTAAAATAAAATCATATACAGGTTGTCCAAACAGGGAGAAAAATTATAATAATGTGGAATTTAAGTGCAAAGATAAAGGAAAAACACAAAATTGCAAACTTGATTCAAGAACGCTGTCATTAAGTGTGGAGTGAAATGAAAGATCTGGGATTCAAGACTGTTCTCTCAGTGAAGTCTAATGATGGGACTCAGAGCCTGTTTCACATTCCCAGGAAGCAGAACTCACGAAAAAGTGACCAGCAGCCTCCAAGAGGCAGGCCTCAGAAATGCAATACATCCCTTCTTCTGACCTCTCCAATTCACAAAGGATTTTTACAGCATGAAGTATGTAGGTCTGGAGTAGGTCTAGCAAAAATTCTGTAAAGTTTGAGTAAATCTGATTTTGCTTTATTGATGAGAAAAATACTAAAGACCTGTAGCATAATATCAAATATTTTCATTATCACCTGACATAATTTGTTTTAGCACCAATTATGTTTGACTACAAAGTTTAGAATTGCATGGGAAGTGAAAAAGGTTGAAAATTAAAGAGTCCAGATTGGGGTTAATATTTGCAATAAATTTAAAAATTTTTTTCTCATCTAAAATAAAAGAGAGAAAATGGCACAAAATCCACAAAATATGGAGAGAAAAAAAAAGCAGGCTAACATGGAACATAAAACATCCACATCAAACTGGGAGTTTAGATGCAGTAATTTCACTATATTACTTGCTTTTTAAGCATTTACTGTAATTACCTCCACATCTGTTTCACTGTCTGTAAACTGGTATTGCTATAAAGTTATAAAAGACAATAACAGAATAAAGTGAAGGTTATATAATGCTCACAGAAAATCACATACCCTACATAAACAGATGACAATTTATACCACTTAATAATGTTAGAGATTTGAAGGTTAAAATTTAAGTTTAATTTAAATAAACCCTCTCATTCAGGGTTTCTGAAATATTACAATGATAAATATACTCATGGAGATATTATATTACAAACAATAAAGATGCAAAGGTACAAAGAAAACCAGAAAGTCTTAATTTTGGTTTAAAACATGCAATACAAATGTATAAAGAAACAGATGATTTATTTCTGTGAATGAAAATGTTAATTTTTTTGAGTTTGTAATGACTAGACAGATATACATACAGCCTTGAAAAGGAAACTTGCAAATCACACGAAGAACCAAAGATGCTGCTAAGAATGCCTTATGGAGGAAGAACTTACCGCTGCCTTAAGAAAGTAATAAAGAAAGGATAGGAAGAAAAAAAAAAAAGCAGAAAGTTTACTATAGAGGAAGATCACCATACTAAATGATAAATTTTTCAAATTAGCATTTATAGAACACAGAAAATCTATAAGATATAACTTCATAAGAGTTTTTAAAAAAAAAAAAACAAAAACAATAATAAGAAAAGGACTCAGGACAGTCTATAGTATAAGGGGAGGCTCACCTGTCCAAAGAAGGCCACCCGGAAGTAGGTCCCCAGGAGCCTACGGCCCGAATGCATGACCTCAGTCACTTTGCTGTAGGCCCGGTGAAGTGTGTCATACAGATGAGCTAGCCTCTGGAAAGCAGAACAGAACCCATTTCTTGCAAATAGTAGAAACAATTTAAAAATAACAATTAATATGGTAGTGTAGATATAAATTCCTATAAAGAATTCCTGCCAAAAAATAAGAATATATTTTGACCATAAAACTCGCAGTATTTGTAAGTCTAAAAAGGGCCAAACTGCTCATGAGGACCCACTGACCTAATAGTAAGAGAAGGTCTTCTCACACCAGTTTTAGTTTCTACTTTTCCTATTTCATTTGATTTGCTAAGTAGTAGACCTCCTGCTTATGGAAGGATGGAAGGGTCACTATTTTCCCAAGCAGATGGGCCCAGGAAGAGTTCTGAGGAAAAGGGGACTTGGTGATTGGAAAATTCTGTTTGTGGCAACCTCCAAAAGTGGAGTGCTTGGGTGGAAATCCTGTAGTATGGGACACAGGGATCTGCACAGACTCTTGATTCTTGGGAGGTGGTAACTGATGACAACCTATGGCATAATGTGGAGGGTCAAAGATCACCTACTCATCAGTGAACCGAAGTCTGCTCTCTTTGTATAGAAGTAGGTCTGAGAATGTGTCACATCACTCTTTTCTCAACTAGGAAAAAACAAAAACAGCCAGATACCTCAAAATCCCTCCGCTTTTCATAAATTGGGATGATGAGTTTATAGATGTCTGCGATCAGCTCGTAGCGTTCTGCCTTCCAGAGTCCATCTGCACACTGCTCTAGAAGCTCCATCAGCACATCCTGATAAAAGAGAAGGTCACAGGCCAGAGAAGAGCGTTATGGAGAGTATGAGAATGTATTCCTTCTGAAATGCACAGTCTAAGACTGCTAGAGGGAAATTCAAAATTTTTAGATACTAACTCCATGTTTGTCTTGGGAAGCTATTTTTCCAACCATGTTCACATGCATAAATAAAAAAGGGTTTCACATTACTTGACTGCTTTATTAGTAACTTGCATGGAAAAACTGACATAGTTTTAAATGGGCTCTCAAATTTTGTTCTTAGTTCTCTTTTTACACATATAATTTAGAAATTTCTTTTTCCTTTTTTAAAGACCAATGACAAGGTTGAAACGTGGAGTTACTAGCATGACTTCAACCCCAACTAAACATCTTGAAGGAGTGTGGTGATGGAGTGTGGGGGTACCATGCCTGTACCATTTCTCTTTGAAATTTCTTTCTAGTCACTGTCTTTGTTAGCATCCTTGGACTTTTGAGGAAGGTAATACTACCCATGGCTCAAGAATCAGAGTATGGGCTCAAATTTATACTAATAAGTGGAACCCGTTTCCTGGCCACAGTCACTGCTTCATCATGGGAGACCTGTGACCAGGCCAATCAGTGTGAGTTTTAGGACCCGAGCTTGGAATGCTTGGACAGATATACTCCCACCAGACAGGATAGAAAGAAGCAGCATAGAGCCTAACTGGGGCTGTCATACACCTCATGGCCACAGAAGGTCTCTCTGCCTTAGTAACAGAGTGAAGAGGCCCCTTCTGCCCTGGCAAAGTTGACTTGTATCAATGATAACTTTGTTAAAGGTTTGGCCTCACTCAACTCAATCTCCATAGAATTTCCCAAAGGGATCCAATACTCAAGTTTTTTTCTTTGAACACATCTAAGTGTTGTTTCATTAATAATGTTGAATAAATTTTCACATGCATATATATCATCTGAACAGCTTTGGTAATGTATCTTTTGCTCATTTTTTGTGATGGATTTTTAATAATGCAATTTGAAAATTCTTTATGTATTCTGGATAAAAGTTCTTTACCGCATTTGTCTCTGAGGCACAGAAAACCTAGTCAGTGAAATAACAACAGAAAATTTCCCAAATGTTTGGAAAAGTATGGACATCCAGGTATGAGAGGCATTTAGAATCTCAAACAGACATGACCAGAAAAGAACCTTTTTATGTCATATTATAGTTAAACCGTCCAAAGTACAGAACAAAGAAAGAATATTGAAAGCTGCAAGACAGAAGTGCCAAAACATTTATAAAGTCAAACCCATCAGAATAATGGGTTTCTTAATAGAAACTCTAAAGGCCAAGAGGGTGAGGAATGATGTATTTTCAGCCAAGAAAGAAAACAACTGCCTACTTAGATTATTATAGCCAGCAAAGTTATCTTTCAGAACTGAAGGTGAAATTAAAACCTCCCAAGAAAAGCATAAACTAAAGGAATTGCTAACCTCTAAACCAGCATTTCAAGACATTTAAAGAAATTCTAAGCACAAAAGAGGAAGCAAACACAATCACAAGAGCACAGAAAATAAATCTTACTAGAAGAGTAGATAAGAAAATGAGACCTAAGGAAAAAAACATGATTGATTCAGTTATTTATGAATTATTAATTAATTCATCTCTATGATAAATAAGAGAGAAAGAAAAAGATGATTCAAAACAACCAGAGGAAAAAACTAAAACCAATAAAATGACTACCACACACCTTTTCATACCACCCTGAATTTTCCAACTAATGGTGTCTTTTGAAGATTGGATGTTTTTTATTTTAAGTCCAATTTAACAAGGTTCAATTTTCTGGATTGTATTTTTGATGTTCTATCTAAGAAGTACTTAATCCAAGCTCACAGATATCTTCTCCTGCTTTCTTCCAAAAGTTTTATAGATTTATATTTTAAGACTCTGATCTACTTTGAGTTATCTTTGAATGAAGTGTGAAGGTTCTTTTTCTTTTTTCCCATATATGTATGCCCAATGTTCCAACCCCATTTGATGAAAGTCTATCCTTTTATCCTTTCTCCATTGAATTACCTTTGAATTTTTGTCAAAAATCCACTGATCATGCATGTGGGTCCATTTCTAGGGTTCACGTTTTGTTCCACTGATACCCCTTTGTCAATATAATGCTGTTTTGATTACTGCTATGGCTTTAAAAGAAAGTTTCTCCAGTGACACTGATGACATCTTGGTCAAGTGTCTGTCGCAGGGGCTCTCTTGTGCATTGTAAGATAGTTATCAGCATCCTTGGCTTCTGCCTACTAGATGCCAGCAGCAGTAGCATCTCCCCTTTCCCCAAAGTCATGACAATAAAAAAATGTTTCCAGACACTGTCAAATATACGCGGAGGGTAGAAGAGACTGTGTGTGCAAAACTGTCCCCAGTTGAGAACAACTGCTCTATAGTAATCTTGAAGCTGGTTAGCATAAATCTTCCCATCTTTTCAAAATTGTTTTAGATAATCTAATTCCTTTTGTTTTTATATGGATTTGAGAGTCAATTGTCAATTTCCACCCAGACTCCTAATGGGAATTTGGCACTGCTTTGAATCTATAAATAAATTTAGGAAGACTGACCTTTTAACAATATTGAGTCTTCTAGAGATTATATAAAATAATTTAATAATATAGTAAAACCATGGCATAAAAATCTCTAAATGTGAAGGTTAATTGATTAATGTATACTAATCTTACCTCCTATGATTCTGCTAATCTGATTTATCAGTATAAGTAGCCTCTTTCATAAATTCTTTTTCTCATGTGAATATTCAGCATGATGTTGAATACCAGTGGTGAAAACAGATATTCTTGTTTTGTTTTGAAATTTAGGGGGAATTTCTATCTCTCATAATCAAATATATTTTTTCCCTAGATAATTAGAGAAGTTCCTTTCTAGTTCTAGTTTTTTTTAAAAAATCTTGAATAAATATTAAATTTTGTCAAATGCTTTTTCTGCATCTATTGAGATGTCAAATAGTTTTTATGAATTTATACCATGGATATGATGAGTAACCTTGATTGATTTTTCCAATTTCAAACCTACCATTCTTCGTGGAATAAACCCCACTTAGTCATAATGCATTTCTCTTTTTTATATTTTGATAGATTAAATTTGCTAATATTTTGTTAAGGGATGGATATATATATATATATATATATATATATATATATATATGCATACTTTAAAAAATTATATATATATATATAATTTTTTAAAAAGTATGCTTATATCCTCTGTAATACTGTAAATGAAAAGTAAGCTCTATGTTTTCCACAAGTGGTCTAATGTTTCGCTAACGGTTTATAGAACCAAATAAAATAAGCATTTTTAAAGCAGTTGTGAATCAACTTACTGGAAAATACTATCTAAGCAAGATCATCTAACTCCTGTCCTATTTGTAATATACAAATAATAAAATTGTCATCTGTGTGACTGACTTGACACCAGTGCTTATAAAAGATATGCCATTTGCTTCAGGTTTTTATTATAGATCTCATTAAAGTCAGATATAGTGACCACTACCACAGCTATAGAAAAAGAAGAAATCAGAGAAGTTTCTAATGTTATCTTTTTGTCCTTTGCTTTTGTATTATGGAGAGGCATGCCTTTCTTACTTTTGTCTCAAATCTTTTCCAATAGACAACCTATGCACACTAAGTATGACAAATTCTGTATTCTTTTTTTGTTGTTGTTCTTGTCAATGGACCTTCATTTTATTTATGTATATGTGGTGCTGAGAATTGAACCCAGTGCCTCAGATATGCTAGGCAAGTGCTCTGCCACTGAGCCACAACCCCAGCTCAAATTCTGTATTCTTTTCATGCTCCTGCTTATAAAAGTTAGATAAAAGAAAAACCTATGAAGAAAATTGTAATGCACTCTGCTGTCATATATAAGTAAAAAAATTAATTAAAAAAGAAAAACATACGAGTACACTTGTATAATTTCAATGACAGTATTCTTACTTCTCCACATTTGTTAAATGTATGAAATATATATAGGTATAACCTTTATTAGTATTTATAAAGACCAATAAAAATTTAACCATTGAAATGCTCTGATAAATAGTAAATTTGCTAAGGTAATTCATAGGTCAAATAAAGAAACCTCTCTTATTTTAATCATTGCTTTCTAGTTTGTTTTAATTTTAAAAATTATCTTATTTCTACTGGGTTATATAATATCCCACAGGGCCACATACATTTGGGTAGTTACATATTTCTGAATTGTTTCTATTTTTCTTAGTAATATTAGCCATATTGCTAGATAGAAATAACTGTCCTTGACTATAGGGAAATGAATTGACTAAGATGTCCTTTATTACAGAGTACTTTATTTCTTGCATATATTTGTTCAAACATACTGCTGGTGGGTATTAATTGAGCACTTTCATTCCCAGTGGTGGTACAGAATTGCAACAGAGGTGGAAGAACTCAGAAGACTCAATTTCCCCCAGGGATGAGAATTGCACAATCAAGGTATTCTGATAACAAAACAATCAAGGTTATAGAATTTTTTCTTACTTTAAAACTATTCTTTTCAGTGACTTCAATACTTATTGAAGTACTAAAATGAACAAGACCGGTACTTTGAAGTACTGATTGATTAATCACTTGATCCCATGTAAGAACAAAAGAGAATTTTTAAATTTCAAATTACTAGAAATTTCAAAATACTAGAGATCTATCTTAAATTTATATTATTCCCCTCAAGTCTAATTTGAGTATATCCATTTGTTTTTTAAAGGGGAGGGTGTCTTTAGATGTTTTTTCCTTACTAAAACAGAATAATTCATTGAAAATATTCTAAGGTGCCAGGCACAGGAGCACAAGCCTGTAATCCCAGTGGCTAGGGAGGCTGAGGCAGGAGGATCACAAGTTCAAAGCCAGTTTAATGAGGTCATAAACAACTTAGCAAGACCCTGCCTCAAAATAAAAAATAAAAAAGGGTTGGAAATGTGACTTAGTGTTTAAGTGCCCCTAGGTTCAATTCCTGGTAC